GGGGACAAGTAGCTCATGCCTGTAATCCTAGCTACTCAGGAGGCAGAGATCAGGAGGATCATGATTTGAAGCCAGCCCAGGAAATAGTTCCCAGTACAGCAAAAAAAAAAAAAAAAAAAATCAAAATTCATTAAACTCTTTTGACTAGCAGTGGTATATCTTCACATTATATGTACTAAACCAAGTTGCTGTAATGTTTAAAAGTAATATAGACTTATTTTAGAAAATATGAAAAAAGAGAAAGGAGAGAATTAATAATCATTAACTCCCTATGGTATTGAGGTAACCATGGTTAACTTCTGGGGAGTACACAAATATAATTGAGATCAGACTGCACATACAGTTTTGAAACCTGGTGTTTTCATTTAATATAATGTGGAAACCTTCCATGCCATTGCATAATGACCCACCACACTGTTGTGAGTGACTGCCAAGCACGCCACTGTCTGAAATGGTCATTATTTACTTATTAGTGGCTGAGGTCTACTTTAGGTTTTTCATAGACTCAGTTCAGACCATGATTCCTTGAACTATAAACTAATGTTAATCTGGTAAGTGTTGGAAAGGTAAAACAATGGTACACTGGTAAGACGAAGAGTGAGGACATTCCTGATATGCAGTGTTTGCCTATTTCATTGTTGTAAATACTGTCCATGCCAATTTCAAGATACCAATGTAACAACTGCCTCACAAACATGAATATTTAACTATTGGCTTTCTGGAGTCAGCTCACCCTTAGAGAAAACGTTGGCTCAACTAAGCTGGTAAATCCTGCCATCATAATAAGCTTGGTGAACAGCGGAGTGGGGCAGAAGTGGAGTACTGCGAGTTAAGTCAGCAAGCCTTCCAGCACCCTCATGTATGTCTGCATTTTGAGTTTGGGGTGCCAAGTTAACAGTCATTGGGACTGCAGAAGGTTTAATAAGAAGTTTTAGAAAGATATTAATGTAATAATAGTTAATGAGGAGTGAGCACACTAGAAAGACATCTTTGAAGAGACAGATACAGACCGGTCCCCGAGACCCTATTAAGGCTCTACCCCTTTCCATGCAATAATGATGCTGTCTCTGTGGGGCTGATGTTAAGATTAAATGTATTACACAGAACGAATACAGTATAAACACAATAAACACTTCACAAATGCTAGCTGCCTTTCCCCTTAGAAATCATACCCTAGATAATATTACTCCTAAAGTGAACAGGAAATGTTCCAACACTATTTTCAGGTAATTCAGTCATGTTTATCTTTAAATTTCGTCTTTATTATTTAAATCAGAGCTTTGCAAACTATAGCCTGTGGGCCTAGTCTGGCGTGGTTTTGTAAATAATGTCTCACACGGAAACCTTTACTTTTAATGGGACACCCCATGCTCAATGTTGACAAGGAGCTAGGCTGCTTTCACATGACAGTGATAAAGTTTGTTGCCATAGAGATCCCAAGACCTGCACAGCTTGAAGCATGTATTATTTGGTTCCTTACAGGAAAAGTTTGTGTATCCATCATTTACATCATTCTAAGCTTTTCTTCAGTGAATATTTTTCTTTTTACTATGTTGAAAGAAAACAAAACAAGTAATGGTACGTAATGAAAAAGGTAAGAAAAGTAGATTCTCTCATAAATTGTAAAACAAAGGTTAATTCCAGGAATACCTAAGAGATAGTTGAAACTCTAGGATGAAGCTGACCTACAAATCAGTCTAGTCAAGAAAGCATGTTTAAAGAATATTTCATAAATTAATTTTCCTACAAGGTGACTGTTACTTCTGACCCAGGAATGCACCTTGGATATGGAATTTGGAAGCATGAATTTAGGAGGCAGAAATGTGGACTATTATTTATAGCCTGGCAAAGAAAGTGACTGGAACCACATTAGTCAAGCAAAATAAGCTGATCTCTCTAACTACAGGTAAAATAACATTCCGAACATTGAGAAATGCACACAATCAAAACTGTGCAGGGTAGAGTTTTAAGAAACTATTTCCCCTGCTAATTTTTGATGTCTACATGGAACGTTCTTCATGCATCAAATAGCTTACCAATGATCTTGACAGACTGAAAATGATACACCTTTACCGCAATATAAATTAATTCTCTCAGTGGGAAATTGCTAAAATAGGTAGGGTGTCATAAAGATTTCTTTATGTCTGAAGGAAAGGAAATGATTCCATTTCTTCCAAACATTCTTACATGAAAAATAATAAACTCTCACTTTAAAATGTCCTTATTTTCATGGGGCTCTGAGGCCCCCATCACTAATTGGATCCTGTTTATCTGGTGTTGGACATGAGTCAGTCACATTACCTCAGGTGTGAAACACACCCAGTTGGAGACTGTTGGCCCCCACAATTCATATCCCATATGAATAAATATTATAGAAATACCCAGAAAAGAGCATTACATTACATGCTCAAAGTTGTATTCTTTTTCATGCCTTAGATTTACATCGATGCTACACAAAGATTCTACTTAGTTTGTCTTCACAAATAAAATATAAGGGGCACATGATGGCCAGTCTATGGAAATGGAAAAAGGATCAACACAAATAAAGCAATTTATTCTCTAGGACAATGACCTGATTTGTTCCTGAGGTAGCTAGCTGAAACTCCCAACAAAGAGATGAACGTTTATTGAATGCTAGGTGCATACACATGCTACTATAGTTAATGCTTACACAAAATTCTCTATATAGTGTGTGTAGTGTGCTACCCAACTTGCGGTTACTGTAACAAATACCTGAGATAATCAACTTATAAAGAGAAAAAGTTAATTTGGGTTCAGGGGTTCAGTTTATGAATGGGTGGGCCAATTACTTTTAGGCCTCTGGCACTGGTCAGCACCTCACAGTGAGAACATGGTGTAGCACACAGCCATTTTCATCATGGCTAGGACACCAAAGAGAAAGAGGAAGAGACTGAGGTCCCACTATCCCCTTTGAGGGCACACCCTAATGACCTAAGACTTCCTCTAGGCCTTACCACTTCCCAATAACACCAAGTCGGGGACCATGACTTTAACACTGAAGCCTTCGGACAATCCAGATATAAACTATAACAATTAGTGAGTAGCTCAAGATAACACCATCTGTAAAGGAAGGAGCTCAGGTGGGAACTCTGATCCTCTGCCTCTCACACCTATCCTGTCTTCAAAGTGCTCGGTCCTCATTGAATTCAGGGTGTAATCATGAGTTCCTGTGACCCCACAGGAAATGAGGCCTCTTATCAGGGCAACTAAATTGGGAAACGTACCAAATCTTTCTTATGAAAAATAACACCCCTGCATTGAAGAAGTTTGAACCAACATTTCCCAAACATATTAGGGAATCCTTTTACTCTAATATTCTGGGATTTTTTTTGCAGTACTGGGTGTGAACTCAGAGTCTTGTGCTTGGTAGGCAGGCACTCTACTACTTGAGTCACGCCCCCCAGTTCTTGAAATTAATATTCTGAAACACATTTTGAGAACTATCTGCGGTCACCTCCCTTGATGGGAGATAGGTAAAAAGGAAATATATAAATTGCAAAGAGTTTTGTGAGAAAAAGTTTTACTCACAGAGATGGTAATGTTGAAGAGATGCTGGTGTGATCTTAAGTGGCTTCTCTTTGCTGTTAGAATCGACCAAAATCTCTAATAAGACCAGGCCCTAGGCCCTATACCTTTGTGGCCTACTTTTTTTTTTATGGGACTGGGATTTGAACTCAGGGCTTCGTGCTTACAAAGCAGATGCTCTACCACTTGAGCCACACCTCCAACCCATTTTGCTCTGGTTATTTTGGAGATGGGGCCTTATGAACTATTTGCCTAAGCTGTCTCAAACCATGATCCTCCCAGTCTCAGCCTCCAATGTAGCTAGGATTATAGGCCTGAACCACCTGGGCCTGGTCATCTGCAGCCTACTTGGTCTGCTCTGGGACTTGCAGGCTTCCCCCTGCCACAGGGCCTTTGCACAGTGTTAGTCTCTTGGCTGGAGTGTACCTTCTTTCCCTCCCTCCCACTGTGTTGCTCCTCCTTCCTTTCCTTGCTTACTGATTCCTCTGCATCTTTCCATGGAGCCTTTCTGATCCAGTGCAGCATCTCTCTGGAGGTGTGCATGTCACTGAGTTCTTCTACAAAGTCATGATGACAATGTTAAATTTATTTGTGTATTTATTTGGTAAGTGACTGCTTATATACCTATTTTGGGGAAGGGAAATCTATTTTCTGCTTCTCAGACAGGACGAAGAAGGACCTTCCCAGCCTCTTCTCCCATCTTTACACTCTTGTTATGAAGCATGCAACACGCTCAGTTCAGGGCCCAGGTACCCTCTGGTCTGCTCCTGTCTAGGGAGACCTTAGAAGGTCAGTATGGGTAATACCTTGAATTCAGGGAAGACACACTAAGAAGCCCAAGGGTTACAGATCCAAGCTCCATCCTGCAATTCAGCTTTATGCAGTAACTGAGTTGGTATTTTGATCTTCACCTGTGATTCCCTACTTCAGTTTTTAATCACATTCATATTTGGGAAGACACCAACATCCTCCACCAGGTATAAGACAGGGAGAGGCCCCTCTGCTCACTCTTGTAGCTCAGTGTCTGGCACAAGTGGGACATTACAAATGTGGTTTGGTCTTAATCATTTTATTATGAAAACTTTAAAAAATAAACGAAATCAGGGAAAATGATATAATGAACCTCCATGTGCCCACCACTCAGCTTCAACATAGCAATACCCAACACGTCAATATTCTTTCATCTATTCCTTTACCGGATCAAAGCAAAGCCAAGACATCACATCACTCCATCCATCTGTAACGGTAAGGCCTTAAAATATCTATAAAACCATGATCACACACATGTTGATAATCTATAACTATTTCTTCAATAATAAATAGAAGAACAAATCCACACACTGCAGAAATCAGTAAAGGGTCAAAGAAGTGGCGAGTCTGAGTCATCTTCTGTCCCCAACACCTTGCTCTCTGTCTCCCTCTGTTTCCTTGTCTCTTGGGGCCAGGCCACTCACCTGTTGGAGTGCTGCTGCGGAATGAAGAGGAGGGGGTGATGGGTGGGGTCACAGGGGGAGTAAGGCTTCCACTGCTGTGGCGTGGCGGAGTGGACACACTCCCTCGAGACACAGAGCTGGACAAGGTCAGCGAGAGCTTTGGCTGAATCTTCTTCTTCAGGGACTCCTGCTCCCGGCGGGCAGCATCTGTCATGAATCTGAAACAACAATGGCACATGTCAGCTGCCTGGGCCTTTGTAGAGTGAGAGGAGGCCTGAAGTCAGCCGAGTCTGAAAGATGCTTGGCCAGCCCTGTGGGAAAGGAGCTCGGTGGCAGACCAGTCCCCATCTGAAATCTCGCAACAGGGTCCCTTTTCCTATGCCATGAAGTGATCTTCAGTGTTGTTTTTAGGTTCCTCAAAGTTGGGCCCATTTTTTCTCTAGGCAAATAAATCTTCCTTCCAGGAAACTTCTACATACCAAATAACAAAATAGATCTGTACCTACCTCAATGCCTTCATTTCCAAGACTGCCTCTCTCTTGGAAGGTCCCCTCTCTCTTCTCACCTGTCCTTAAGCCCCTGGCCACTCCAGAGTGAGACACTTCCTTTCTTTGTAGTAGCAGTGCTTGAACCACTTACCTGACACTTAACATACACAGCCTCATGAACACTTTGATCTTAACTTGTGTTTCTCTACATTCTCAGATTGTGATTTGAATTTTAAACCTTTTCTTGGCTGCTTGAGATCTTGCCAAGCACATGGCAAGCCCACCTTGGTAAACATACCAGCAGAACGGCTGTGTACAACTGCTCAAGCAGAGTGAAGAAGAGGAGACATGAGCAGTATAAGGAGGAAGACCATTGCCAAAGACCTGTTCATGTTCCAACTTTCTTACTCAGAAAGAGAAGGTCATGTCTCTTGCTAGTTTCACTTTGGAAAGATCAAAGTGATTCTTCCCGGTTGGGTGTGGTGGTGTAGGCCTGTGATTCCAGCACTTGAGAGACCAGCCCGGGCTACACAGTGAGACCTTGTCTCAAAAGTAAGTAAATAAACCCAAGGTTATTGTCTCAACACTTTTCTTATGCTAGTAATATTCACAAAGTTTGCTCCCTGTATAATCTAATATCTTATAAATTCATGTAATATGAGATGAAAAACAACAATCTATGAAACAGTAGCTCTTACCAAAAGAGCATATATCTTTTTATATTATTGGCTGGCAGACTCTGTCAGCTGCATTTTGGGCACTGGATGGAGAACACAGTGTATGTGAAAGTGTTCACCTAGGCTGAGAGGCAGAATGTTAACCCACCGCTCAAATCTTCGCTACACCTCCCCCATTACCTGACTCCTGACTAGTTCAATACAATTCATCAAAAATGAATCCACTGCACTTAATCATGGTATTCTACCCAACCTATTTCACATGGTACCTAAAAAAATTCCTCAATATTCTTCTTCACTACAATATGAAGTTTTGGAAGCCATCAGATAGCTCTTCTGTCTGGTGCAAGCTTAGAGTGGCTTAGACACCCTAAAAAACAACAGTAATACTGCTACAGCGTCTGTAAAGTCCTACTTGTATACCTGAAGCAAATGCACACTTCTTAATGACCTCTGTAACACAAGGCAGATACATAAACTGGGTTTTATATGTGGAACTGAACTGTTACAAAGATACAGGCTTTGCCTTGAACTCTCAGGTTTTGTGCTACAAGATGGTGATGATTCCAAAAAGAGAAAGGAATGTCAATGCAAAAAAGAACTGCCTTCACCTGGGAGCTAGGTACTCATTTATTCACAGCTTCTACAACTCTTACTTACCTCCTCATAAACCTCTACTCAAAAGCTGGAGTCTCAGAAACAAGGCAGTAATGAGTGCTTGCTTTCATTATTCCAAATGCCCCACTAACTGCTGAATTGCACAAGTCAGGGTATGCTGTGGACCAGGGAGTGGGCAGAGCAAAAGCTAAACACGCAGAAAGACCAACTGTCCTCGGTGGTGTCTGATTCAAGCAGTAAAATAAACACAGATCTGTTACGCAGTAGAAAGAAAAACTATACCTTGCATTTTAGTTCAGAGCATGGAATTTACAATCTGACAGGCCAGGACTTAAACCTTGGCTGAAGTACTTACTATGTTTGAGGCAAGTTGATAAACCTTTCTAAACCTCAGCTTTATTATGGTTGAGCATCTCTTATCCGAAGTGTTTGGGACCAGGAGTATTTTGGATTTCAGGAGTTTTTAGATTTTGGAATGTTTACATAGACTTTAGCAGTTGGACACCCTTAATCTGAAAATCACAAGTTTAAATTATAGATTTTGGAGCATTTGTATTAGGATGCTTAACCTGTACTGACTGCATGAGAATTTGGTCTTTGGTTAACTTTGGCAACCTGCTAAGAGATGGCATGTCACCTATGTTACTAGCTGACACTACTTAGGTGATAACAATGAGCCCTACGTGGACTGGGAGGAACTGATAGGAAGCTAGGTGTCCTAACTTAGGCCTTGTAACTGGGCATGTCCCTCATGCCTGTGAGTGTTACAGAAGCTTGGACTCCTGGGGAGGGGGCCTTATTTGAGGACAGAATCTGACTCTGCACTAGAGCAGCTGGTGCTGCCCTCCTGGCAAGCTGTGTCTCTGTCCTCCAACCTTCTGAATGAATCCAGTGTCTTCTGTGGTCCCTGGTCACCTTGTGAGTCTATTCACTAGGATGATGACTACTGGTAGATAAGCCATCAGTGCCTTCTTCAGAGTTCTGTTTGAAGACTAAGTGTGGTAACTTGCCCATTATATAGAAAGTGGCAGTGTGTGTATGTGTGAGCTGTTATTGTTATATAAAGCACTATAATGTCTACTCAACTCCATGTTCTTTGAGGATACACTGCCTGTCTATGGTTCTGAAAGCACCTGTATAAGCCTCATGTAGAATAGAAATTCCACCTCTTGAGTGACTAGGAGTGGGCCCAGAGAGTGCGTGTCTAATGTCAGAAAAAATTTTTTTTTGTGGTACTAAAATGTGAACTCAGGGCCTCATGCTTGCTAGGTAATTGCTCTATCACTTGAGCCACACCCCCAGATCTTTTTGCTTTAGTTATTTTTCAAATAGACTTTTGCATTTTTGCTCAGGATCAGCCTGGATCTCAGTCCTCCTACCTAGACTTCCTGCATAGCTGATATGACAGGCATGCCCCCACCATATTCAGCTTTTTTACTGAGAAGGGGTCTCACCAACTTTTTGCCCAGGCTGGCCTCAAACTGAGATTTTCCCAATCTCTGCCTCCCAAGTAGCTGGGATTGCAGGCATGAGCCACTGAGCCCAGCCTAGTGTTAGAAACTCTTGTCAAAATAAGAGCAGTATTTCCATTTTCTCTGGGGTTGAAAAATATTAATTTATGCTTAGTTTTAAAAATAGTTACCCTCCTATGGCTCAGATATAAAACAACTGTAAACGACCATAGAACACACACCCCAACACACCCCAGCCACCTTTACCTGCACATGGGTTAGGCTGGCTACAGATGGCAAGCCATCTTGGTTTACATTGTCTAAGAGCTTTCTAGATGTGGGAACAAGGCATCCACATTAAAAGCATTAAACATGAAACATTCATAAAGCCCCGCCAGAAGCCTGTCCTTTCTCCTCTCTGGGATTGGTGAGGATGAACTCGGACATTCAGCCATAAATCATGGCAGGCTTGCCACACCAAGACATAGCTGCACAACCTACTCCTAGTGACAAAACATACATGCACGCACGTGAAGTGCCACCCCACTGCTGTGGAAGTGCTGGCTGAAATGGGCTCCTGTCTCCCCCACACAGCTAGCTGCACTAGTCTTCCATTTCTCCTTATTGGCTATGACTTCACTTTTTTTGTTTTTGAGAGTATCTCACTTTGTAATTCAGGTTGGCCACAAATTCACCATCCTCCTGCATCAGTCTTCTGGGTTTACCTATTTTTGGAGGCTTATTAAGACTCAGTGTTTAAGTCAAGTTTAATGTTCAAAACAGCTTTTGGCCAAAAGGTGGACAGATTCCCACAGTAAGGACCTGTACGGGAAGATGACTATGTAGACATGGCGATAAGCCTAGGTAAATCTGGGGACTCAGTGGCTCTGAGCAGGGGAACCAGACAAAGCCATCTTCCAGCTCCAGTGCGGTCACATGCTGTGACCTGCTTGTTTGCAAGTCCACAGCCCAGACTTTTCCATGATCAAGCTGAAAATGTTCTCTGTATTCCTGTAGCCAGGAAGGGGGGAGGGGTTCAGGCTTAGGACGCCACATCTGTCCTCTGGTCTGGGGAGCCTCTAAAGAGGGCTCCATTACCAGTGGTCTCTGAGGCCTGTGGTACCCACAGGGGATGTGGGACTCGGAGCTGGAGGAACCCTGGTTATGTTGTATCATCCAGTCTTCTCCCTGGTTTTTCATGGTATCTTTTGAGGTGGGGTGACCTGTGCAAGGTCACATGGCTGGCTAGTGGCAAAGTTGGCACAAGAATTGTTAGGACTCTGAATTAAAGGACAGAATTAGAAGCCTCGGCTTCCTTGTTTGTGTTCAGAACCAGGCCATAGTTCTCAAGGTAGGAGGGTTTGAGGAGACAGGGGCGCATCAAGAACCCTTCTGGAGGTTATAGGCTTAAGTGGGGTGGTGCAGGGAGCACGGCAGGCAATGCAGGAGGCTCCCAGTGTCACCAAGCTCTGATGTGTGGGCTGCTTGGCTCTTGGATGTCCCAGAATTTGAGGCCCCAGTGGGGTGTGCTGTGGGAAAGGCTGACTGTGCTGGCCTCCCCCAATTCTCTCTGCTTTACCCATCCTGCTCAGATCTGTCCATGGCAGCACCAAGTTGGCTCCTACTGGCTTGTGAGAGCTGACCATATAACTTATAAACTGCCCGTTAAACATAGCCATTAACAATTAAATTATGTAAACTTATAATTAAATCAAGTATATTAAAAACAAAGGTGTTTAGATCAAGGTCTGTCACCTCTATTTCACTGCATTTTACTATAACCTACATTTATGAGGTTCTTTACCTTAATATTGTCTCTGTTGGGCAGAACGACTATGTCACCATGTGCTGCTACTCTGTGCTCAGTAACGTCATGGTGGGCTCATGACGTCATGGAAATTGAAGACTACTGAAAAGAGCCGTTAAATATTGGCCAGTCCACTTTGGAGCTAGTGTGGGAAGAAACACAGGTGAATCAGGCTCC